CCCTTGAGGGACTGGAAGGGGCTCTAAGGTCTCCCTGGAGCCTTCTCTTCTCCAGGCTGAACCCCCACAACTCCCTCAGCCCCCCCTCCCAGCAGAGGGGCTCCAGCCCCCCCAGCATCAAAAGCATGTGCTTCTCAGGGCTGACAGCAGAACTAAAATCACATGAATCAAGCATCTGCTCCAGAGCAGCTTTCAAGTAACTTTTAAATCTCTGCCAGAGAGTGCTACATCTCAATCTTCACATGCTCAGGGTGTCTGGAGCCCCAACTCCCTCAGCTCCCCAACTCCCCCCAACTCCCTCAGCCCCCCCTCCCAGCAGAGGGGCTCCAGCCCCCCCATCATCTCCGTGGCCTCCTCTGGCCCCGCTCCTTAACTGCCACACCAACAGCTCCATGTCCTTCTGCTGTTGGTGGCCCCAGAGCTGGAGGCAGCACTGCAGGGGGGTCTCCCCAGAGTGGAGCAGAGGGGCAGAAGCCCCCCTGTCCCTGCTGGCCATGCTGCTGGGGATGCTGCCCAGGACATAGTTGGCTTTTTGGGCTGCCATTGCACGTTGCTGGCTCATGCTGAGCTTCTCGTCCACCGGCTTCTGCTGGGCATGAGGGAAGCACCTGAATTGTGTGTTATTCTGTGACTCCTCAGATCATCAGGGTCCCCACACACCCACCTCTCCCCCAGCGGCAGGGCAAGTGCCAGTAGCCATTCCCTGTGAGGACAATGTTGAGGGGTGCTAATTGTTTAGCATAACTAAGCATGTTTTAAGTCAAATACATTTCTTAGCATTATAAATTGGTGTCATTTATGCTCCAGGGTCTACCTTGTTATGTGGAACATGTAAATACGTTGACCTGGAATGGACCAGGTTGACCTGGGTAGGACCTTTTATCCTCAGGGAATGGCAGCTTTTTCAAAACTCTGAAATGTTCCTTTGGCTCCCCAGAGTCATCCCTTTCTCTAGCCCACCCTGGGTATCCAGAGGGACTCACTGAAAGTGCCTGTCGAAGCAGGTGGCACAGGTCATGTAGACATAACCTTAGGATGTGGAGAACAGGAGGCAATATACTTCCAAGGAGCAGGGACCCGGACAGTCCTCCCTTTTCAAATCCACACACACTACGTGAGAAGCTGTCTTTGCAGAATGGGCCAAGGACAAGTGAGCTCTATGAACCAAGCCACTCAAGTCGAACATGTAGATTTGGCCAGTGATGAGAAGTAATAGGCCTTGAACATCTCTTCCACTGTGTCCTATATATGATCCACAGCCTGCACCAGAGTGAGTGTTTCCACCTATGTATTGAAGATAACAGTTGAGTCTGAGCTTAGCCAGCTAACTCCACAGTAGTGTAGGGCCATAACAGCCTCGTCTGTGGGTCTTAGTCAAGGCCAACATTCCACTCTGGGGTCAGTGCACTCATGCAGTGACCGTGCTCCCCTGGTTCCAAGCACTTGGATGGAGAGCGCATCAAGACAGCCTCTGTTAAAGACAGAGAATCGTTTGCACAGCTTGCTTTGCTTGCTTTTGCTCTTTTCTTTTTTACCTTTCTAGGCCTGTCAGGCCCACTAAAACATATTAATCTCAGACATGTAAATATTGTTTGAGCATGTGATTGATTGTGCTTTTAATCTGATTTACTGAGAGACAAGGGCCATGTAATCGCATTGTCTTACCTCCTGCTCTTTTGTGTCCATCTCTTAAACCATTTGTAAGCCTGTTTGCAAATCTCAGCCAAGTTTGATGGAGCAACAGAGCTCTTAAAGATGTTAAATTCTTACTAGTGGTGTGGAAACTGGAAACTGAATAGATTAAAAGTAGGAACTCAACATGAGCTGGTTTTGTGGCCTACTAATCAATACCCCCATAGTGCAGAAGCAGCTCGGCACACTGCCTCCTGCCCAACAGGAAGGTGGGCAGTATGGGAAGGATAAAAGGCTGGCATGGGTGGGAGGGCCATGAGGATGGCGTAGGGTGACTGCTGGGGAATGGTCTTGTCAGAAGTACCTCAGCAAAAAGATGCTTTATTTTGATGGGGAATGTCAAAACTACAACTGACATCAGAGGAAGAGCAATTAGGTCAAAACCAGGAGGGTGGGTTTTGGATCTACCTCATTTGTGACATCTGTGAAATCACCGAACTCTTCTGTCCTTCATCAAAACAAGGTAAAGCATTCAGAGCCCCTCACGTATGTAGAAAGGGCGGCAGGTTGTTATTTATGAAAGCAGTTTGCTGTTTCTAAGACTGGTCGGGATGGGGAATGCTACAGCATGCACAAATGGAGCTAAAAAGTGTTGTACCTTCTCCCTTTCTTCTTGCCTCAGAAATAAAAACAATCGAGGGAGGAGGACTTGGTTGCAAGATGAGAGAAGGGTCTCATTAATCCCCATTCAATCCAGCCCGGTGCCTCATTTCCCAAAGGCTCATTTAGAACAGCAACAGGTAATTTTTTTGCGACTTACGAAAGACACGCTTGCTCCACATTCCCTTTTGTAGGGCTGAAAGCAGCAGGACAGTCCCGGCATGTAAGTAATGTGGGTTTCCAACTTCCAGCCTTCCGTGGCTGTGGGCTGGGTGGCTCTTGATTCTTTTGCATCCAATTTTAAAACAAAGGCTGGTGTCCAGCAGGCTGTGGAGGGCAGCTGGGGGTTTTGGGGTGTCCGCAGCTCCCCGATGGATGGAGGAGGAGGAGGCTCTGCCTGCAGGGTGCACTGCAGCCCCGCTCTGCGCCATCACCCGCCCCGCAGGGCATCCCACCCGCACCAGCTGCTGCTCCAACGGGGCTGACACAGGTTTGTTTAAAGCAGAGCCATAAATACGCCAAAACATGCCAAAACACACCGACTGCGCACATGGCAGTGTGGTGTTTGTAAAAAACCAAATTTTAGCCCTGTTAAAGCGTGTGTGTTACCGCCCCTTCACTCACCGAGGCACAAAGTGAAGCTGCTATTAGAGTTCCCCAGAAAAAAAAAAAAAAAAAAAAAAAAAAAAAAAAAAAAAAAAAAAAAAAAAAAAAAAAGCTCAATGAATTATACTTAGCTATTTTAATGTCTGTGTCCAGTGGACTGTACGACAGGGCTCAGTTGTTGATCTTGCAGTTTGTCCCGTTTAAAGGTGAAGTTCATGGAAGGCTAAGGTAGAGGTCGTATTGCCACTTGAAAAGGCATCCTCTGGAGCTTTGAGCCTGTGGAGCTGTTTCACATGAGGCAGAGTATGACTCATGCTAATGAAAAGGGTAAAGAAGATTTTTTTAAAGAAATATATCGCAGTTAAATTAGTTTAGACAGCATGACATCAGAGAGTAATTAAATAGGTTTGTTGGAATTCCGTTTCCAATTCCTGAGTTCAGGTTTGTAAAAGATTTCTGAGCACCTGCAGGTCTCTGTGTGTGAAATATTTTCACTGGAAAGGATTCAAAACTTTAAAAAAACCTTTTAACACAGAGGCAGCATTACGCCATTCTTCCTTCTTGGAAAAAAAAACCCTTGGATTTAAACAGGACTCCTTCAAGTTTTCAGTCAGTTTTACAGAAGAAAACGAGGTGGTAAACTTTCTCTTTTCAAGAACAAGTTCTTTATAGCCGCTAACTGAAGTCAGGGGAGATTGCATCTGAGTACATGAGCATTTCCACTATGGGACTGGATACAAGTATTGAACAACGAGATTTGAAATGTTTTAATCTCAAACGAAAATCATTTTTGCTGACTTTGGTTTTTAATTTCTTTCATGTTTTCTTCTGCCAAACTGGAGGAACCTTTTCTGATTTTTTCTTTAGTGGCATTCAGAGGAAGACCAGAGGATGAAAATCCTGCATTTTCTCACTTTACTGCTTTGGCATTTGGCTTGGCTGTCTCTGGATCTAGTTCCTGGAGTGCTGAGTAATTCTGAAGCAGGCCAGAGTAATCCGGGATCTAAACTAGGATTTTTAAAAGCAGAAGGAAAAGAGCGGAATCCCTCAGCACGGGCAGGTACACTGAGGACTGCAAGCCATGGATTTAGTGCTGCGACCTCAAAGGCTAGGACTAAAAGCAGTGCTGTTCAGGCTGGAGCTCTGCTGGCCAAGAATGATGAATCAAAGAAGGTTGTCTCAAGAACAGCAGCCACGGAGGGCAAGGTAGGACATCTCCCCAGCAGACCTTCTGGAGTAAGGACAGTGACTCCAAAGGTTCAAAATCTTAGCAGCAAGGTGGCTTTGAAAAAAACTGGCACAAGCAGTACTGACACTGATTCTTTCAAAACCAAAAAGACTAAAGAGCCTGTCACCCAGAGGGAAACTAAGGAAACTTTCCGACATCCCCCTATAACGCCACATGAATACATGCTCTCTTTGTACAGGACTCTCTCAGATGCAGAAAGAAAAGGTGTTAATGGAAGTGTAAAACTGGAGGCTGGACTTGCCAATACAATAACCAGCTTTATAGACAAAGGACAAGGAAAGAAAGGAGCTCATGTGTGTGTGTGTGTGGACACAGAGATGCCTGAGTGTGTTTTTAGATGTAGAGAGCATTGGAAAATAATCATACTTTGTTAAAGTCAAATTGCTCTTTTTAATGTAAAAGAAATTGTACAACTTTGCTGCAGATTTTGTCCTGCCTTATCTTGGAAAACTCATATAGAGGCAGAGCTAGATGGTTGTGTGGCAGCCAATTAAAACATGTAGAAAATATTTTAGATGCGTATTGTTGAAAATTGATCAGTCTTTGCATGCTTAGGTGTTTAAAAACCTTTTAAATTTTGGTCTTATTTTCTTTCCATAACTAGCTCATGGAAACTGCTAACATTAGATTTTATTGTAAAGTAAGTCTAAAAACACATGATATGCTAAGAACAGGGCTATCC